TCAGGATACACACAGGCTCATATGGCATTGTAAGATTTTAAGTGGAGGATTGACACATATATATATTTCTTCTGTCTCACTCTCTCTCTTTATATGCATTTGAGATAAAAAAAAACTGCAGTGCAGGTTTAAGCTAAATATCAGTAGTAGTCTAAAACTCTTGCATTTTACAACATTTTTCCTGGTGGTTGTACAAAGTTAAGATGAACCATATTTTGCAGAGATTTACGCACACAATGACTGAACTGAACTAAAAGCAGGATTTTGGACATTTCACAAATGTTTGTTTGGTCATTGTTTTTTTTACATACAAATCTATTCATACTGACCTTCTAATGTCAAACTGAAAATGTTTGGAAGATTTTAATGTCATGTAGGAATGCATAATACAAAAAGAAACACACTGTACACGGGGATTAATATCACCCAGCTTTCTCAAGTTGAAAAGACAGCTATTCTTTGTATGTAAATTGGATAGCTGGATAAAGAAGACAAGCTCAGTTTCAAAATGTCACTTCATTGAGCTGCAGTGCGCCAGAAACCAATAAATAATTCTCAAAATGAAAGAAAGCAGCCTGAAAAGATCATGTCGTTTTTATTATGAATATCCAAAGCAATACTTTATTGTTATTAAAATCCTCTGGTCCATCGACAGTACCTCATATCCCCCTGAAGAGCTGTTTTAATATCCTTATAATTTAATATCCTCAGCAGGATTCATTTTTATCTCTCTGTCTGACACTGCTCCCTGCAACTTACATTCAGTGACAGCAAATGTAGATGTAGTGCATTAAGTGACACGGCTGAATAATAATTTCATGGCAATGATATGAGGATATTTCTGGTTTTTTTTAAACCACAAGGGTGGGTAATGATTCATATTTACTGTTGAATCTGTTGGAAATTACATGGGGAAGAGGCGGTTTTGCATAATAGTTTTAAGAGTTCACCGCTTGCATAATTTCCCTAACAGAGGGAAGGTCAACAACCCATTTGATGTAATGGGATTTTAATTCCTACTCAAGACTATTTACATCAGGCATATTTACATACCACTAGTTTGTAGTTAAACAGTTTTTTTAGTTTTTTGGATGTTGAGCCTGGAGCATGAGTGGGCTGGCTCAGTCTATGATTCATAATGTTAAGATTTTAATCTGTTTTGGGATGAGGAAGGGTTAGATTTTTTTGAGAGTATGTATGTACGTGTGTTTAGGGGTGGAGGTGGGGACAAAGACATTAAAATTTTTGTTTATTTTCACAACATTGTCTGTGACTGAACAGCTGCAAAGGCTTTCACAGGTTTAGTCCGGTCTTATAGTCTTACAGTCCACCTCGCTGCACTCACCTTCATTGTCGAAAATGATCCATGGCCCAACCCGCAGGGTGTGTGTGTGTGTGGGCGTGAGGTGATTTTCACTCTCAAGCACACACTTGCTGTACACACAAACTGCCAGTTCAGGCCCCAAATAGGACAGTAACAAAGTCAACAAAGTCCTTTTTCATGTTTCTTTTCTTTTCAGTTTTTTTTACAAATACTTTTTGAAAGGTGCTCTGCATTATATATTTTTATTTTTCAAAATGAGGACCACATTTTACATAAACCCAGTTTGTTTTTCCCATGAAAGTGATGTTACTACCACACAAACATACATACTAAAATTTGACAAAATGTTTTAAACATTAACGTGAGATGCAAGAAACGGAAGTAATCAAACTTTCACTGTAAAAATGCTCCATGTTGAATTAAAACAATTTAGTTTTCAACTGAAGAATTGTCCTAAAAATTCGCCCTATCTCTACTTCTTGTAGGACCGATATCTTCTACAATGAGAATCTAATCACTTGAGCTGCATTGTGTCAAATACTGGTACTACTGTATGATTAGTTACAATGACAGGCACTCAATGAGGAAAGACAGAAGTCTCCATATGGTTCTACTTAGACTGTTAATTTCTAGGTCAGAATCAAAATGGGTACTACAGTCAATTCTTCACTTTTCCTGAGCACAGTGGAAGACAGAAAACATCTTGACTCTCTCCTTTTACTCCAACACAGTACATATTGCCGCAGGGTGCCTTATTAAGAGATGTTTGGGAAAGATGTTTTGGAGAGTACGTTTCAATTATTGACAGGCAGGGACTAGCTAAAACATATCAATGCCAGAAAGGAAAGTAGGTCTGACTGCAAATAGTCCTGTGTTCAATACATGCATAGTCTTAGAAACCACACATGCTATGTGAACTAAATCAACCTATTGATTGGCTGACTAGCTGATTTTATCAGTATCCCTTATGTCAGGCACCTCTTTTTTTGTTTTTAACTGACCTTGAAGAAATGAAACTGGGTGCTAATCCCCTCTCAGTTTATTGTACTTATATAGCATATTGAGACATACAGGTACTGCATGATACAGTGTTAGTGAATCAGAGCAGACTGTCTATCTGTTCTCTACATGCATTGTGTGAAAATTACCATGGCTTTCAGGAAATCTCACTTTTTTTTTTACAGCATTATAGGGATTTGCCTGGTCCAAACAGCATGTGTGAGCAGTGTGTGACGGCTGCCTCGCTGAACTGCTGCGGCTCACACACCTGCCACACAGAACGTTTCTACTACTGCTGCCAGCTCAGTCTTTCTACACCAAGTCTGCATTTGATAAATACGACACAATAAAAACCTTCTTAACAAATGAATGGGCTTGATGAGCTTTTAATCTGAAGCTGATAACAGGAGGTGTTGAGTGGAAAAAAAGAATATTTTTTTTATGTCTGTGACATAATCTACAGATATAGACAATTAAACTGTAGTGAAAGGTGTATGTGTTGCTGGTATAATGTCAATATTACTATGAACAAACCATTTTCACTGGTCACTTTTACTGGAAACCGGCTTGCAGTAAAAATAGGCGACTCTCCAGTTGCAGCCTCACTGGAGACACAGGCAGTGTGGCTGCTCTTAATATGGGTGCTGAAATTAAATGCAAGAAGTTCCACCACACTCCAACTTAAGAACATTTTTTCCTGATCTTTGAGCAAGTGTGCATGTCAATATCTTTATTAAAATAATTAGTGATGAATCACCCTTGTATATGAGTCATACATCAATATTAGCCAAATTCACACACGATCCATGATGATGAAGATACAGAAAAATAGATATGCATGGCAAAAATAGGATATTGTCAATATTTTAAAGATTACAATTTCACAAATCATGTTTTTCGAGGGAGCTCATGTCTTATTAAGAGGAGCCAAGCTCACTCTGGCTCCCCTGTAGTTCGCACCCTGTCTACATGTTCTCCATTACTGTCCAGCACTGTCAATTATTAATTCATTTATTATTTATTTTGAATCTGTATTTTGTTCAGTATGCAGACATCTATCTTGTTCGCAATGGATTAGTATTCAGAACTAACTTCTCCCATGGCTTGGGATAATAAAATAGCTGACATCACTTGTTCTTAAACACAACTGCATTAAATTTGTCTGTTTAAGCAAAGCCAAAGTTTACACTGACAAGGCAGCTTGCATAAAACTGTAGTATCTGGTGAAGGGATCAACAAAGGTTACTAGAACAGTTTGGACGTACAGAAACTTTGTACGTATCAGTTTCATCTATAATGATAACATGGCTGAATCATCCACTGCCAAATCAGAGGTGGCCAGTGTTGTTTCTCTCCCCAGCGGCGCTTGTCTCAGCATTAGGAACAGCCCTATTTCCTCACGTGGTGACTCCCAGGCAGGATATCTCATTAGATCACACAACAGAACGCTAAACTGCTCTCCGCACTGACGGGCCAATAAGGTGCTCAGTAAAGCAGGCCGTGTGCCACTCAACTCACATCCCAGATGCTGCACAACGCTGTCAGTCCATTAATGGCAGACAGCAGCATGTTCAGTGATTAGGCGGGGTAATGGTGAGTGACTGCCTCTGGAGGCTCTGGATGGTTTGCTGGGGTGGCGTCTGTGGAGGACGCTGACAAACCTTAATCCAGTGTTTGCTGCATATTTACAATGAAGAATGGTCCAGACAATGGTGCGTACATGCACTTTCCCACACGAAGATTGGAGCCGTATAGTCTCTCACTTCTCTCATGTGAAGGTGGTGGTAGGGATTAGAGTGAGAGATGGTGATTCATTTTCTGACTTTTGGCACAGCCACTTTGGATTCTCCTGGGGGACTGCAAAGCCTGTATTATACTGGGGATGCTCACAGAACCCAGCTGCTAATGAAATAAGAGCTCCTCTGAGCTTATAGTCGGTTCAGATTTCAGGAGAGGGTGTTTGCAAGCAGAAATAAGGACTTGAATACTTCTGCCTCACATTGAGGGTGTCCTTTAAAAGCAATTTTGATTATTTTTCCCCTGGAGACAATTACACAACTCTTTTGAAGAACTAGGTACGACTGGAATCAATGGGCAATACAAGAGTAATAATTGGCCTTGTTTGCAGTTTGAAAACTGTCACAAGTTTTATAGACATGTCTGTTATAATGCACATCTGGGGGCTCTAAGCAGGATAAGTTTGGGGGTCCTACCTCACTGTGAATAGACAGTGAAGTATTCATAGAACTAGCAACCGTATGTAATTATAACCCTTATGCATTATCAACAAAATGGTCCGCAGTTATTTAACTGCTAATGAAATATACTCACTGAAACACTCAAAGTAAAACTGACTGTCTCTTGCCATTTTTACTCCTACTTTGTTTTTGTCTGAAGTGTTTTTAAAAATTTTAAAATGGCATGAACTCTTCCACTAAAACATCTATTCTTGATGTAGCAGAAGATAAATGATTCTACAAAAGATTTTAGTTGGATTTTGTATTTATTCTATAACTGTTGTAACTATACCTTAAAAATATAATTGGGCACAATGTGAAAAACCATGTAAAGTGCAAAATAGTAGCACTAGTAGTAAGTTAGTTGGGAAATTTTTACGCTATACAATTAAATCTTCCAACAGAGATAAAGACATTGTGGCAACAAACAGGAAACTCACCAACTGTATCACTGGAACCAGCCATAGGGGACAAAGATGTGTCAACTTGAGTGTGGTATGATGATGGGCCTGGTATGAAATAAAAACATTAACATTTGTTGTGATTATTTCGTTTTAGTTTAGTAAGTATTATCTTAATAATTATAACTAAATTGTACATGAGGTCAGTTTGTTGTAAACAAAGACATATTATGTATTTACCATTACATATAGTTAACTTACCAGCAACATTATCTGTTAGGGTTTTCTTTCTACCTGAACCAGGAGTTGCAGTAGAGTTATCTCCAGCTGCTGTGTGGGACAATTATAATATAGTCGTAAGACGGACATGCATGACATGCAGAGTATGGATAAAACAAGATAAATCATACAAGGTAATACACAAGTACTAGATAACAACACAGTCAATTGGGATTTTAAGACCAATTTTTAAGTGGCTGAAGAACCAGCTATCAGTGTACAGGTTACACACAAAACTACTCAAAATTCAGAGTTGGTGATTGTCTAACAAAGAGTTTTATTTTACTTTTGTTTTCTGTTGGTTCTTTTAGGATGATCTGCGCGGTAAAATTACTATTTCTTTCAGTGGAGTGTGGTCGTGCGCGAGAGCTGTTTTTGGTTAAAGAAAAAGGATTTTACTTTTTAACAAACAGGTTTATCTCTGTAGGGATCCTTTCCATAATGTTGTCAGACACTGAGATTAACAATCTGAGCCTGTCAGTGGCAAAAACAAGAACTGTTAGTGGACATAAGACTGGTGCATTTGTCCCCAAGGATTACGTTGCTGCCATTGCAGCCTGTTCATGGCTGCCGAATGAGGTACAGAGGCATTGTATTTTTTACGTCTAACTGTGAATTAAGGGTTTATTTTGACCAAATCAGAGTTAGTCATCATTAGAACAGTGGAAATACCAACAAATACTTGCTGAGGTTGATTTTGTTTATTTTGTTTCATACAAACGTGATGTTTGTTGCTTCTTACACTTTTATAGAAGACTGTCAGTAGCTAGCATTGCAATAGCAACAGAAAGTACCAATTCATTATAGATATGTAGGGTTGCCAGGCTACATATGGTGCCGGCTATGGTTATAATCGTCTCGGGGGATAATATTTTTTGGGCTGTACCACGAGAGGCATTTGGGACAAATTGATAGGAAGGCTGAGTGGCGGCACCGTACCCAGCAGTCTTAATACATCCCTGATATCAACGGAAAGATTTGTGAAGCAATCAGTAATGTGCAGCAGTGTGCATATGACTAGGGATTTAAATTCTCATTTGAGGAAACCTATACACCAGTTCAGTCAGAACACTCACATCAAGGTTTTAAACACTTAATGCGTTTTACTTCGGCGGAGCGATTGCAGACACAGCGTGTCCCTCAGCTCAAAAACTCGGAACAACCATGAACACTAATTAAAAACATTCACAATTTACGTACAGCTAAATGTGAATGCAGGAGGAGGTTGGACAGGTGGAGGGAGTTAATTTTCTAATAGCAGGCAGCAGTATTGCAGTAAGGAGGCAGAGCTCAGCGTTGTGAAATGCAAACGAATGGGCGCCAAATGTTTATATAGTCCACCTCAAAAACTAGTAGTGTAGAAGCTTAATTAAATGTATTGAGACAGTGCCGTGGAGCGGAGAAGTCAACCCCATTCAAGCCCTGTGGATTCTGGTAGGAGAAATGCCACTAGATGTCAGGGAAGCAGTGAGTGACTAATTACCAACATCAAAGGGCATGCAGAACACCATTGCACTAACGTGATATTACTAGAGTTGTGGGGACAACAAAGCAGACAAAAAGCACGTTTCGTGTGTGTTGAAAGAAGACTTGGGGATGGCTATTGTTCAGCTGCGTCCAGCAGTGGTTATCCCAAAGGTAGAGCCATACAGATCCAACATCACTGACTGATATGTAATAATTACAATTTAAGAGGGCTGAGAAAGGAAAAGTTGATGTGATAACAGCATTCTCTGTTCATGTTTGAGAGCACTATTCCTTATATCTATAAATCTAGACTATTGGCTCTAAGGATTCAGAACAATAGATTACAGGGGCTGCTTTCTCAGTTCCAGGCAGGAAAATTCGAAGGTACAAGCGAAGATCATATTATCTTGGAATATCCTTGGTGGAAATGCTGGCAGTATAGCTCTACAATGGTTTTAATCTACTCTTTTTTTCTGTCCTTAATACCCTGAAATTTAGGATATTTTACTCAAAGTGTGGCAGGTGCATACACTGCAAGGTTAATATATTCTGTTTCTGTGGGTTCCTGCTAATGTAGCTGTAAAACTAAATGAAGAGGTAGTTTTGCTAAACAAGCTCTGCAAAGAGTTATACTCGCACTTGATCCCATTGAGTTCCATTATGTAAATCTGAGCTCAAGAGAGTCAAAAGAAGGGTTTCTTTACAACTTAAACAACAAAGTCCGCTCAACATTTAAAAATATTTAACAGAATAAGACTTCATCACAGGAACTTAATCAGCACACTATTTATAATAAATATGAACAGGAAAGATGACAGATGAAAGAGGATTTCAGAGAAGCAGGAATTCATGATCTCAACATAAAATCTATAGATACATAATTTATCAAGTGGAACATGCAGTGAACATTTCTTTAATGTTATCAGGTAAATGGGATTAATGGTTAAGATTTCATCTCTGGTTGAGACTGAAGCAGAAGCAGAGGTAATTCTCCCGTTAAAAACAAGAAGAAGAAGCAGGAAGGGTTAAACTCAAACCCCCAGGAAGAGCACTGGGCTTTGAAGTCAATTTGACATAGTGGCCAAAGCATGTAATTACAGCAATGACATCCATCATGTGATGCACATTGGCCCAAAACAACTTTTCCCCGTAAGCTTACATTGTGAAAGAAGTGGCTGTAAAACTGTGGATACATTTTTTTTTTGATTCCCCCAGAAAAACAGTAAAGTGGTCGGTTTCAGCCTATCAAAAGTAATAACCTGCCCACTTGTTTTCGATGTCCATTTGCATCTCATTTTACTGTGTTCTGGGATACAATCATCACATAATTCAAATGCAAAAGCCTAGTTTGCATTTGTAGTCTTAAATTTAAAGTACATTCTCAGCCAACTGGAAAAAAGAAAATTCAAAGTCAATTTAAAATTCACGATAATTAAAATTGAAATTATGGATTTTGGGTGTCCACTAAAAATGTTGATATTTACCAGCATAAATGTTCAAACACAATTTTAGTTTTGTAGTACATTATGCACAAAGAAATGGCAAAAGAAGGTTTTATCTCATTTGAATATTTCACTTAAATACTGGGAGCCATCATGTCCGTATGATAGTGTTACTGTTCACCTTCTTCTGTTTCATCTCTGGCTTGATCTGTCATGTAGATTAATTACTTTCCATAACTACTCAAATAGGATACTATACAGTTACTATCCAATGACCACTTGTTTCCACCTATAAACCTGTATTTATTTTTAGTGAGTTCAAGACCTCTGCATTACCTTGACTAACCTTCGCCTCCCTGCACAGCTGTTTTCCACCTGCTCATGGGGGTTTCATTTAGGTCCCTATTTTCCCCTCGTTTTTTCTCTCTTTTGTCCTTATATTGCATACTTTGTGTGGTGTCCCACCTGCCTGCCAGTACTTCTGTGCTTTGTCTGCCTGATCCTATATGTTACCAGCTGTAAGCCCTAAGCTGTAAGACAGTGAGCATGACCAATTATAAACCATCTGCTGAGCACATCACTGGGTCAGCACATCAGCCAGTTGATGAAAACTGGGATGGTGATTCTCAGTGAGATGTTCAGTACGAGAAACCCTTTTCACAATGTAAAAAGACTTCTGGTTCATGTTGTTTAATGGAGCTTTAATATTGATATAATTCATATTCTTTTCTTACTTAATTACTTTCCTCTGTGTAATTGTAACTAATGTCATTTTGCCCTATCACTTTTCGTTTGGTCCACATGTGGCCTTTGGGATTATGCTATGAATTGCTTATATAAAGGGCTGGGTCTCTCAGTGAAATGGGACTGCTGGCAGTTATTCACTGTAGGAAACTCCAATCTCAAATTCCTCTTTCTCTCAGCGATTTCCTAATAAGAGACCTGTCATGGCATGGCGGACCGTGCCATAGCAATCATACCTTATCAAGGAAATACACCCTGATGGTTCAGTGAGCCTCCATTAGTTTTGATTACCATCTCTATTATCATGTCTATGCCCACTTGTCTAAAGTCATATCTATGCCCTGTTACCATTGGCCATTGCTACTGTATAGAGTACATTAAATATACTAATCATATGAGCAAAACAAAAAACCCACATTCTTCTTGTGCAAACAGGCCAGGGAACCCAGGTCTCAACAAAACAAACCTAGTCTGATCTCTAAATCTATCAGAGCTGTGATGGTACAACAGATGAATACATTGTGAAATTCTCTGCCCAATTCTTTGCCAATTTAAATTACTTTGATCTTGGATCATTTAAAATTTAACTCAAGAAATTCTAGCAAGACATTTGAATTAAGAAGCATACGCAGGGACAGACATTTTCAGGTTGATTAAAAATTTATTTAGAGCCGGCATAGAAAGTAGTTGCCTAAACACACCAGACACTTCACTGAGCCTCCCTCAGGGTGTACTGGATTTTTTCTGCGCATGTGCTTCCCCATTTGAATGTCCTGTACAACTTCTTTTTATACTGAAAAAGCACCACAGTCTGAAACTTGTGTTAATCAGTGTTTTTCTTTTGGTGGGGGTGGTGGTTCATCACTTACAGTTTAAATGGACACACACAGCTATGATCTGGAATATCAGAGATGAAGACTGAATGAATATACTGTATTTGCCAAAGGTATAAATGTTAATGATGGGTAAACTTTGGACTGGTTCCCCTAACTACTATGATTTCCTTGCCAAGCGCATGCCCTGTAGCCCCTGAATAGGTATCAGTGGTTAAAAAAAAGAATAATATATTTATTCTAAATAATAAAATGAAATTTCAGATAATGTCGGAGGACATTTTTCTAATCTGTGCCCCAGGTCTTCAGTATAACACCGCAGGGTTTATTTGCTCTGATGCTGTGCTGTCCAGCCCTCGGAGCCTTCCCCTCCTCCGAGGTCCTGCCTTCTGTTCACTGGTACTGTTTGTTTCCCACTCCGGGCTCAACTATTGGCTGCCAACTGCTCGTCCTCTGCTCCTCCCTCCCTTCTCATCTCCTACAGTAGCTTCCTGTGTTGGATGAAGGCCCAGTGTTTCCAAGCTTAAATAATGTGCATCTCTCTCTTGCATCCCTGCTTCTGAAA